ACATTTTACACTAAATGTTGAAAAGGGGGACATTTTTAGTTTTTTTCATATACTCAGAGGCTTTTTCTGATCAGGGGCTCAATACTTTTCACATTTACTTTACAAACTTTAGTAAAATATCAAACTTTTTTTTTCTTTCCATGCAAAGCTATTGCTTCTGTTTAATCTAATTTTCTCTGGAAGTTACCTCAATAATCAGATTTTTGATTAGGTCATGATCCTTAATATAAACATTTAAATTAGCTGATACATACACTCTTAAAAGGGAGTTTGGTCGATGCTAAATACAATTCATGAAAATCATTTAAACGCATCTTTACATAGGTAGAAGATTACAAAAAGGTACCTTTTTGTTAATAGTAGCAAATACAAAATGAAAATATCTAAAATAAAATGTACACAAAGATTTTGGCTTTCATATGTGCCAGGAAGTAATTTCTTTGCTGAACCATTCAGAACAAGACAGCATCAACATTTTTAAAATTAGTTCCTTAGTATAACTGGATGTAGACCTTCATGATTTTTTTTTAAGTCATCCATTTTAATTCAGACTAATTGTGCAGACCTATTGGATCTGCAGTATAAGTGACTGTTGAAAAGGCACAATAATAGCCTGGATGGAGGCCTGCTTTAAAACACTGCTGCCTTGCAACATGGAGATAGCAGATTTAATCCCAGGCCTGAGGCCTTTCTGTACTGAAAATGTTAAACTTTGAGATGAAATAACCTAATTCTCTTGGTGCTTCATAGCTTTTGAAAATAAATACACTTTACTAATAACTTTTGAGTAATTTCACTCAACCTAACTGAGTGCAAATTGTTACCTTTGCTTTTTTCAGATAAATCATATAGGTTGTTTTTAACAGTGAACCCCACCTTGTAAAAACAGTCTATGATAGGCAGTCTTTTCTTAATTTTAAAGACATTATTTTTTGCTACAGGAAATATTTCCTCAATGCACAGCAGCAAGTTGGGGAGGGGCCCCATGCCCTTGCCTCTTTGGAAAAGTTTATGTTTTTTATATAGGGCTGAAACAATTAATCAGATTAATTGTGATTAATTTATTATTGAAATCATTGTCAACTTATTTAGTTATCGATTAATCATTAACTGGAGTATAGAGACACTAAAACATGCCTTAAGATGACAAAATTACCCCCTTAGGGCAGTAATCGTTAGAAAAATGTAAAAACTTATATAAATACTTTGCATTTAAGAAAAATAAAATGTTTTTCATCTGTCAAAATCGAAAAAATTATTGACTGATTAGTTGCTTTAGTTTTATAAACCGAACATTTTTAAAACATTAGTTTACCTTCAGGGTGAGAAATGTTCCCAAAGACTAAATTCTCAGCATTCTGACCTGAAATGAGGATGTAAACACATTTATTCTCAATAAGTAATAAAAGAGCGTCACCTCTTATTAAGTGACTCCTCTCAGTGACCCAACTCTCTCTGTGATCACTTCAGCTCAGGTCACTCTGTGGTTCGAGGAGCGAAAGTTGAAAATCAACAAATCCTGCTGACATTTCGGCCTCGCATTTCAGCACAAACATGTCTTGATATCCTGAAACCAAGTCCCCGCTGCCTGGGCTGGAGGACCTTGCCTTTAAATATGATACTTTGTGACAAGCTTCCCATGAAAGTGTGGCCTTGTAGTGACTGGTGTTGCTGCCGCTGCTGCACGCCTCGTACTCTTCAGATGACAAAGACTCTCTTCCTCACAGCTCAGCATACAGTAGATAACATGGCCGATTTTACAGCCAACATAAAAAACTTACCACCATCTTAAAGTTTTACCACTTTGGATCCGGTAAAATATATTGTAAAGTGCATAGCCATAAAGAGTATAAGCCATGGTCATTCTGATGGAGATAGATCTATGATGGCCTTTAAGTTTACAGGTACAGAGAAGAGCAGCAAGCTGCAGAATAGTGATCCCATTTTTTTATTTCAAAACGTATTTCAGTCTGTATGTTATAGAAACTTCTGTGTGCATTTGTATTCACCAATTCGTAACCTAATACCCCTGACTAATTTAGTTTTATTTAAGGATAGGGGTGTTTTTAGAGAACATCAGGCAACTAAAATCTCAGTGAAAACCAGACAATACATCTAAAAGGTCAAGGACAAAGTTATGGTTCCTTTTAAGCAGGTTTGGGTTCTAAATCAAGCTCTTTAGTTTTGAATTTCCTACTGATCTCTGTCCAATCATCATCTAATAGTGAAAAAAGAAGGAAGCTACTGTAGAGCTACCAATATTACTTAAATTGTCAGGTTACTCAAAAAAAAAAAACTATATATTTTTTTTTCTTCTCAGCGATACACCTAAAAGGCATATGGTAACTCTGGAGGAGCTGCAGAGATTCACAGCTTCAGTGAAAGCTTCCAAATAAATAAATAAATAAAACAATCCACTGGACTTTGTTTCCAAGTTTGAAGACGTTTCATTTTGAATTGAAAAAGCTTCCTGGATGGGAAGCGAAACAGCTTTAAACTTGGATTCAAAGTCCAGTGGATTGTTTTGTTTTGTTTTTTGGAATGACTATGACCTGGATGACTGAGAAAGTTCACCAGCAAGCTTCAGTGAAAGAGTTTTTCAAGAGGACAACTAACATGAAAACGCTGTTTGTGGCAAAAAATGTTCACATCATCCTGAATATATGATGATGGAACTTGGTGGTGGCACCATAATGCTGTGGGATATGGTCAGAATTAACAGGAAGAGGAATGAAGCAGAAAGAAAACCTGTTAAAAGTTGTCTTTAAACCATTTTGTTTTACTCAAAGCTTCAACAAAATGCTTTGAATTCATTTTCAAATTATGTGTCAGATTGACGCAACCAAAATTCAGACAAAAATAAACACCTTTTGAGGATCTGTGGCAAGACATGAAAACTGACATTTAAAGACATCTTCAGATCAGTCTGATCTAGAAAGAGCTATTTAGATAAGAAACATGAGAAAACTAAATTTAATTTAAGGAATCATTTCTCTAAAGACCTGCAGCTGCAATTTCTGAAAAATTCTGTTAAAGTTACAGTATTAACCTTGAAAATTCCCACTGAGTTTATGGCTGGAACATGACAGCATATAGAAAGGTCAGAATAAATGAGCAATGCATCAAAGGAAACACATCTCAGTAGTGGTATAAGCTAATCTGTTCAAATGTGACCAAATTTAAACTTTCTGACATTTTTGAGGCAACGAGATGACACATCTCAAGGGGCATTCCATTAAAAAACAATTTCTAAACATTACCCTCTGAACACGGCAGTATCATGCTGTGGGACAGATGTTGTATTCTGATTGGATGGGAAAGGGAGGCTTGTCAAAGTTTATATAAGGATGGAGGGAGCTAAAGCAGAGATTTTGACTCTTTGGCCTGAACTTGCAGCAGAGCTACAGAGGAAAGTCTGCCATGTAAAATTCCACAAAAATATACTTATGTTATAATTTCAAATAAATGCAATCTTTTACAGAGCCTTGTGTCAGTCCCTGTTTCCATGCCCCATTGCATCCAACAAACATCCCATTAATATCTTAGTTACCGTATAAAAAAGGTCAGGGGATCATCCTGCTGCTCCATTTATGTCCGTGCTCTGTTCCCAGTCCACTCAGATTCTCCGAATTTCTCCATATAAACATTCAAATCCCCTCATAACCGTGACATTGTTTTGCAGACATAGCCAGTACACTGAAAAAAATTCTGGAGTACCATTTATTTAGAAAAAGCTTGGTGATTCTTTCCACATAGAAATGCTTTCTTAATTTCACTCAATAAAATCTAAGTTGATTTTAACTACTAAAAAGAGTTGATTTAACAAAAAAACAAGTACATTTTACTAGTAAATTTCTCTTGTCAACAAAATATTTACTTTTGTGTTGCTAGTGACTTTTACACAGAGACATACAACCATGAGAATCTAGAGAAGCAAATGAACCCAACAGTCACGCTGTTGGAGGTAGCAGGAGTACCCAGAGAGAACCCACATATGAATAGGGAGAACATGTAAACTCTATGCAGAAAGGCCCTGGGCCAGGAATCGAACCAGGAACCTCATGGCTGTGCTGCAAACTGCAACCCTGTGCAGCCAACAAGAAAACAATACTTCCTATTTCTGATTTCCAGGCTAGTAAAAAGCAAAGTTTACTCCTAATATCAATATTATATGCGTCTGTTAAGTTCGTAACTTATTGCAATTGTTTTTTTTAATACGGTTTGTTAAGATGCATTAAAATTACTTGACTTCTGGTGGATATACTGTAGATTTACAAAATAGTTCTAAGTAACGCATCAAATAAAATGTGTCATCTTTAAGTAAACGCATTTGCGTGGCAATCTGCAGTATAATTTGCAGAAAAATCGAGGAAATATCACAGGACCAAAAAGTCCCTTTTTTTCAGTGTAGATCATTCATCAGCCTCTAATCTATCCGCTCCTTGTTCTCAGCCGGAGGGCGCCCAGGGCTTCTTACCCAAAGCTTAACCCACCGCGCGTAAAAACCCGCAAAGGTGGCTGCGCGGTTCTCAAAATCTACGGTTATCGGTGGGGGCCAAGACAAGCTGGAGTAAAAAGAGAAGCAACAGACTGCTCCGATCAGGGAGGGGTTAAAAATAAGTGGATTTCAGTGAAACAGCTTGGGCAGCAGTGGATGCTGCTTTTCTTATGGCCCAAGGTTACAGCAACTCCGGAAAAACAAACAACCAACAGGGAAAAGTTTGGATAACGTGAAAAAAATAAATAAACATACATATACCTGACATGTGACTGTCGGATCATACGTGTTATTCCTGTACATGAGCGCACCTTGAGAGTCAGCATCAGAGAGCAACCAAAAAGGACAACTGGAGCTTCGCAGCATCGCAGGAATCATTTCAATTTCCAAGCGTTTTGACGCGCTCGGAGAAAACGCACTTCACTGTCAGGACACAGGCGCGCACACGCACCCACCCCCTTTATTACATAAACATGCATCAGTGAAAGTCATCCAGACTCACCATGTTGTTAAAATCCAGTAATGCCATCATAGAGTCCTAAAAAACGCAACGTCGCTCCAAGCTTTCCTCAGATAAGCGCGTATTCCACTGCAGAGCCGCCGCCGACGCTGTCCCTTCTCCCTCTTTCTCTCTTTCTCTCTCTTTCTCTCTTTCTCCCTCTCTCTCAAATTGATTCAGCGTTTCCAAGTGCTGCGCTGCCGCCGCTGGTATGATGGGAATTGCCTCAGAAATCTTCAGGTGGATGAAACCACCGGAGGACGCGCTCAGAGAATGTTGGACTCATCCTGCGGCTGCAGGATTATTATTTTTTTTTCCACACTAAAATAACCAGAATAGATCAACTGAGGCAGCATGCAAAACATGCAATATGATGTAGTCGGATAGTTGCAGCAAATCTTCTGATTATGGCGGCGTTTTTCGCTTGTTTCAAGGAACATTCGCTGCTTGGCAACACAGCTCCACCTGGGCTGCTTCCACTGCAGACGCCAGCACAGCAGGTGCACAAAAATGGCATCTTATCGAGAAAAAAAGTGTTTATTTTTATTAGTTACTTTATTTCAAGATTTATTTATTCAAATGTATATATTCCAAATATGTATGGTTCCTCTACGGAAGAGGATTAGGGCCACTGAAAAACAAAAATAAGTCAACTGATTTTTAAATTTTATTTCAGTTTAATATGGGAAAAAAGTCAGAATTCTGGCTT